ATCACATGCTGTGCCTTTACTGTCGGGGAAAGTTAACAACATCCATTTGTAAGAGATGGTATTTGAAAAGTGATGTTGGTGTGATTGAATGTGTGAATCTGTAATGAAGCCAAGTCAGATATCTCCTTCCCCATAAAATAGTATTCAACTTCTGTGGTGGCTCCTTTTTGAAACTGGGCTTTTCTGCCCAGATTCCTCCCCTGAACCATGCAAGTACCAAATTGCAGGTATTTAGCACTCAGGTTTGTTTCCAGCTCCTGTTTTCCAACAGCTGTAGAGGAGTCAAGTGCCTAAACCCTCTAAGAGTCAGAATCCTGCTTTGAGTGCTGACAGGACAAAGCATTTGCTGTTCTTTTCTTAACAAAGCTGCACAAAAAAATGAATAATTGAGCAATCAGTCAATTTATCTGTCAGACCACAGGTTTTCAGGACATCTTTTTGAGAAAGAACTCCCTGGTCCATGGCCTTGGGTTGTAAAACCTGGTGCAGGTATGTCCACACACTTCACCTTTCCAAAGAAAAAAATTATTTTGCAATTTTAACTGTAATATTAAACTAATTTTTGTGAGCCAATTCTTTGTCCACAGAGCCCATGGGTAGACAACATGGGAGAGGGCTGGCATAGGGAAAGCTTCTGTGTTTTCATGACCAGTGTATGATGTGATGTAGGAATACACGTGATGCTGGGCAGTGATGATGGGAGGAGCAGATGAAGCATTTTTTTTTTTCTCTGCTAATTCTGCATTTTGCTTTTTCAGGATTCAAAGGATCTTTTCTACTCCAACCTGCATGGTTAGCCAGTCTGTATGTAATAGAATTTTTTGACCTTACTTTAAATATCCCTGCTTTTAGCACATTCCAGAGAGGATCCACACTCACCTGAAGTGAGGTTTCTTGTAGAAGGATCCCACTTCGCTTCACACTATTCTGTGGCATCTGGTTGAGCTATATTAAGTCCATTTCCCTTTTAATTTCCCAATATTTCCCTTGATTTTAACACCTCTAAAGATAATGTGCTGTCTGAAGAAATGATTTTCAGTGAGCAATTTGAAACTTCACGTCTGTACAGCCAGACAGAACAGATTAAGTTAATTCTTTCTCTTAAGCCATCACATTTTATCTCCTATCTGCATTTTCTCTATGCCTCACATATGAACTATTGACAAATCATCATTAACCTGCCTTGTCAGCAGAGTTTAGGGTTTCAAAGAAATCAGGTTGTTCTGAATCAGATTTTGCATGTTTCACTGTAGTGGGAAAGAAGAATGAAAAAGGAAAGGGTTGCTAAGGTAAAGATCACAAGAATTAAGATACCCCAGAATGAGGATTAATTTAATTTAAGTGTTAAGTAAAATTCTGCAGATGAATTCTTCGGCATGAACTGATGATCTTCATGTTTTTCTCTGATTTTTTTGCCTCTCCATTCTCTCTGTGCAGGGTTCATCTCTGCTTTGTAAAGCTACCTCACACATGCTATTGTAACAGTACTAATAAAACCAAAAACTTGGATTCAGGAAAAATTCAAGCAAAATCTAAGATCTATGTGTGCTTCTAAGGATGTGTGTACCTCCCCAATAAAACATGTTTGGGATCCAGGGTACTGTTCTCCTCCACAAGTGAAAGCAGTTCAGCTGGGACACATTCAGTCTTTCCCAGTGAAAAGCCAGGGAAAAATATTGTATCAGGAACATTACTGCCCTCACTGATTCTGGAACACCCTTTCACCAAAATGCTTTCCTGTGTCCCCTGCTCCCCCTTACTCCCCTCTCATCACCCCATCCTTACCCCTTCAAGCTCCTTTTATTCCCTGGCTCAAGTGGATTCTGTAGCTCAGCAGAAGGCAGGAGCTGCTGTTTCACACAAATGTTGCCTCGGTTCACACTTCCAGCTGGGCTTAGAGACCAAAGTCATTAATTACTGTTACTCATGTTGTTGTTTATGCTCCAAGACCTGCTTTTTCACCCCAGAAAGAGTTACAAGAAGCTTAAAAGATGCCACTTGGCCAAGCTTATATCACCAAGGAGTGTGTGTATCTCAGAATATTAAAGGTACCTTGACTGCTTTTTTTGCCTGAATTTTGCACTGCTGAGTAGATTTAGCTGGCCAAAAACCTAACCCACCTACCAGATATGGAGTGTCACAGAAAAAGAAGGAAATAATTTTCTCTAAGTTAGGGTAAATGCAACCTTTTAAAAATATATAACCAGGAGTTGCTTAATTAAGTTAATCTGTCAAAGTGTTAACTGTGTGCTGTTGTAATCATATAACAGTCATATGGAGAGAAATATTTTATTTAAATAGATTAGATTTCTTAGATTTAAGAAAACTCTAAATATTTTTCTGTAATTAGCAGGCAAGCAAGGTATATTCCTCCTGCATTTTATATGAAAAATGAGGGCTGTTTACGCTCTTAACCTTTGTCATTTATTAAAATTCATTAACACAATTTCAAATCACATCTCCATAAAGAAACTGACCTACCACTGAAGTAGCCAACAGGCAAAAATCAAACTTCATGGATAGTCAGGCCTGAAAATCATCACTACCCTTCTTGACTCTTATAGTCCAGAAGCTGGACATGGATTACAGAAAAGAAGATGGTTTTGCAGTGTAAGTTTCCTGGACTGGTGAGACCAATGATTTGCATGAGATTTTGACATCTTTTGCTGAAGAAATGAAGCTCAAGGCATTGAAATGAGGCTGACTCCAAACTGCCCTGTGTGACCAGGTGAGGAATGTGCTGGATCTGTTACTGAGACTGAAAATGACCAGGAGAAAAACTGGAATTACCCCATAGCCAACACTTTTGTTAGAAGAAGGATTTCATCACTCAGCATTCCAGCATCAAGCAGAAGTCCTTTTGCACTTCTCCTACACAAAACACAGTATCTGAAAATGCACCAGAGAACTGGGGGGAGGGGGGAAGAATTTCTGAGACCTCACAAGTTTAATAATGATACAAATTGCAGGTTTGCAAATGATCTCAACATTTAAAACTGACCCTTGATGTTTCCAGTCAGCAGGAAGCACAGCTGCTGTATAAAAGGTGATAGGGGCAATGCATGATACAATATATAGGGAAGTGGATAAGGCAGGGAGATGGCTCAGTTATGTGGATAGGGATGCCTGCTTGATGGAAATTTTAATGCATCTTCAAGTCTGACAAAGCACTGTGCCTAAACTCAGGTGCTGAAGGCCTGGCCTGTGTTTCCTGCCCTTCTTTTCTATCATTAATCTTCTACCCAATTGTTTAGTTTCATCATTCCAGTATTAATCTGTAGGTGCCTTAGGCCTGCATCATTTCAGAGGCAGGGATGGGGTGGGAAACCCTACACAATAGAGGTGAGACACCATGTGAAGTGAGACAGGACAGATAATAGCAACAGGACAAGGGGGGATGGCTTTAAACTGAAGAAGGAGAGATTTATATTAGATATTCGGAACAAATTCTTCCCAGTGAGGGTCATGAGGGCCTGTCACAGGTTGCTAAGAGAAGCTGTGGCTGCCTCATCTCTGGAAGGGCTCAAGGGCAGGTTGGATGGGACTTGGAGAAATGTGGTCTAGTGGAAACTGTCCCTGCCCATGGCAGGGCGTTTGGAACTGGATGAACAACTTTATTTCAGGTCCCTTCCAACCCAAACCATTCCATATGTGTTTCTAGAGGGTGAGTCTCCTGTAAGATGTGTGAATCCATAAATCTGTTGGGGTAGAAGTAAAGGAGTTTGGTCCTTCAGGCTGCCAGCTGGGGAAAGCTGCAGACCAAAGCTGAGTTCTGTGTCTAAAGATGTCTTGCCACCAATAATAACATATCCTGTTGTGAAGCCTAATATAAAGGTTGGACTTTATGATCTTGGAAGCCTTTTTTGACCTGAATTATTTTAATTTTAGGTTTTATGATCCCATGACTGAGTGAAGTCTTGGGGGATAGGAGGAGGAGGGATAGGGCAGTGATGAGTAGGTAGAAAATAGCAGGACAATTCCTTTGGCTTGAAACCTTTCCTGTGTGCAGTATTTAAATCCTGACTGAAGGACTTACTGGCATTTTCTGGGAGAAAAGTATGAACTGTCACTATCCTGTTTGTGAGGAGGCAAGAGAGTGGCATGGGGGACAGCAAGGTGTAGAACCTACAATGAAGTAGGGTTTGCTCTTCTGAGCATCCTAAGCTTGTCTTTCATGAAGGAAACACCTTTCAACAGCAGCTATGGAGAGAAACACGAGAGAAAGGTGATGAGACTTCTGCTGTGCCTGACTTCAGTTTATCCACTGCAAATTGCATGAGGTCCAGTGGGGAGAAGTGCCAGGTTCTGCTTTTGGGTCACAACCACCCCTGAAGTACTACAGGCTGGGCCAGAGTGCCTGGAAAGCTGGAAAAGGTTCTGGGGGTGCTGGTGGCAGTGTCTGAATATGACCCAGGTGTGCCCAGCTGTGCCCAGGTGAGCAGTGGCCCCTGGGCTGTACCAGCCATGGTGTGGCAGCAGGGCCAGGACAGTGATTGTCCCCCTGTGCTGGGCATGGCTGAGGCCACCTCAAATCCTGTGCTCAGTTCTGGGCCCCTCAGTTCAGGAGGGACATTGAGGGGCTGGACTGTGTCCAGAGAAGGGAACAGAGCTGGGGAAGGGCCTGGAGCACAGCTCTGATGAGGAGCAGCTGAGAGAGCTTGGGCTGTTCAGCTTTGAGCAGAGAAGACCTGGGGGGATCTTCTTGCTCTTCTCAGCTCCCTGACAGGAGGAGCTAGGTCGGGGTCGGGGTCTGCTCCCAAGGAACAGGAGACAGGACAAGAGCAAACGGCCTCTGATTGTACCAGGAGTATTTAGATTGGATATTGGACACAGTTTCCTCCTTCAAAGGGTGGTTAAGCATGGTGGAACTGGCTGCCAAGGGAAGTGTCGGAGTCACCATTTCCGGAGGTAATTTAAAAGGTGCCATGTAGATGTGGCACTCGATGATCTTAGAGGTCTGTTCAAACTCTGACGATTTTATATTTCCAAACAAACCCGAATTGTCCCGTTTCCCCTAGGCTCCCCGACGCCACTAGATGGTGCTTTTAGCCGCTGCTAAAACCCTCAGTGCTCGCAGACACGGGTTTGTTATCATCGCACAGGAGCTCCAGAGCTCTGGGGAACAGGGATTTTTACAGAACAGAAAACTTATCCCGCACGAGGACAGACAGCCAGAAACGCAGATATATCCATAGGAGGAAAAAAAGGGGGGGAAAAAGGGGAAAAAAGGGCTCTGCACTGGATTCTTTCAGCAATATTTGTACACGTGTGATCCCAAAGCGAAAGGAGCTCCCCGGGGACCCTGACGGGACAATCTGGTCTGTCACAGCAGCGCCTTTTGCCGGTGGCACTGGCCGGGCTCCACCGGGGCTGCTCAGGCTGGAAGGCTCGGATCAGCCCTGGAAAGGCTGCACGAATGCAGATTGCCCTCGTGTTTTTCCAGGCTCCCAGACCATCTGGCTCCGGCTCGGACAGCAGCCAGTGGGATGAGGGGCTTGGGCAGCCTGGTGAGAGGCCTGGGCCCTGAGTCCTGCAGCTCTGGGGACCCAGCAGGCCGCAGAACCACCGGGCCCAGGTATCCCAGCAGCACAGCCATCCCTGGGGATGCACGTGTGTTAGGAAGTGTCTCCAGTGCTCCTGTTGTTTATTTGATAGTTGGCAAGGAATACATAAAAGCATCATTGATTTATCCTCAGCTCTCACTTCTCTTAGGTTGTGTCGTGGCCTGGTTGATGCTGCTTCTCTCCAGCGTCACTGGGCTGGACAGAAGATAAAATTGCAAAGTTTAGATCCTGAGGCTGGTGTTTCCTATGGTGTGGGCCCACTAGTTTTTATTTCCATGGGTAGTTCCACACCTGAAGAAACTGTGGCACCTTTCTTGAGAGCCATCCCTCTGCAGATAAGAAGCCTGGACTCATCCCACATGGGGGAAAGTTTAATGAACCTGGTTATTTCACTGCTGCTTGTTGTAAATCAGGGAGAGCAGATACTGCAGTCAGAATAGCTGGAACTGTCATCTCAATCTGATTAATGTCTCCTGGAGAGAATAAGGAGCTTCTGCTGTGACAGGATGGGCTGCACTCATTACACTGATGTAAGAACAGCTGCTTAAAGGGTTCACCCTTTCAGCTGACACCGTCTAGTATCAGATTACCTCTGTTAAACCCAGGTAGATTCTGATAAATAATACACAGCATTGCACTGGAAGTTGTGTCTGCTCCATGCCTGGAATTGTCCAAGGCCAGGCTGGATGAGGCTTGGAGTAACTTGGTCTAGTGAAAGGTACCCCTGCCCATGGCAGGGGGTTTGGAAATAAATGATCCTTAATGTCCCTTCCAACCCATTCTCAATTTCTGTGATTTTGAGATTCAATGATTCCATGATGGTACACATTGGCTAATTAAGTTACAATATTTTGAAAATAATTTTCATTTCCTATCTCAGGAGTAAATACAAAAAAAACTCTTGATGTTCAGAACAGTATGCCAGTGTCTTTTACTTCAGAGGAAACAACTCCTTTTATTGAAGGAGTTCAGTTGTTACAGTGATACCTTGTTCTCTATTTCACATCACTTTTCTCCTTTCATAAAACCTTTCCAGAAAAACTATGGAGAAAAATAACATTTAAATAAGAAGGTCACAATCAGAAAGTAGTGCTATTTTACAGATGTCCTGGACACAATCCAAACAAATTAGGACCTTTACTGTTGACTTTGGAATTTTATAGGTTTATAAAGGGATGGCTACAATTTTCTGACATCTTTTGTGCAATACAGTAATAATATCTTAATATCAATATACCACTGTATTATCCTAAACCCCCATGAAGTTACATGAGAATAGATATTCCATGAAGACAACCTGATTTCAAGGTACCAAGATGAAATGTTAGGGATGTTCATCCTTCTGTGTTAAACACATGTGCAGTGCTCTGCTGAGATTTCTCTGGCTTTGTCATGCACCCTCTATTCATCGTTATTCCTTCCTCAGCTGAAGAGAAAATAAATTCCGTAAAGAACCATGGAACATTAATTTATTATTTATTTATTTTATAACTGGGTTATAGACCTCACAACATATTCAAGCCAACTTGCTAGGACAGCGACAAAGGAAGCCTGAAGGAGGTAGATATTTTCTCATGTTAGACTTTTCTACAACAGAAGAAACATTTACATGGTAAAGACAAAGCCACCATTTACATTCCAAATTCAGATAACAGTAATAATATTTTCTGGCTCCAGATTTATGTTTCCATCTGGCTGAAGTGACTTGGCAACCAAAAGCATAAGCTTTGTTTCAATTCTTGGTATCAACAAGTACCCTTAAGGCATATTAGGGAGGTATGACAAAAATCTAGCGAATGCCAAAAGCAGTGAAGCTTAGTTATTGGCTTGCCAGCATGAGAGAAATATAATCTGCATTTTGTAAGTATGCATATAGAACAAGCCCTGGCATTGCAAGCCGCTGTCAGTCAGGAGGAACTTCCTACTTCTTTTCAGAATATATTTTTTTTATGCCAATTTATTTTTGCAGCATGATTTACTGAACAGAGGATTAAGCACAATGGTGTGGCATAAAACAACGTGTGTGTAGGCTTTGAATACAGATTTTCTTATTCCACACCACTGCACTTAGCCCAGCATTCCTTGAGTAATGGATAACTAAGAATGAGTTAATCTCAGAGCTTTCTTGGGCATTAATTTTGTTGTCCTAAAAGTGACTTAAGAGAATTTAAAATCTTCATGTAAGGTTACATGAGACCTTCATCCAGGGTGTCTGTGTATCAGAGGCCTTGGCCTTGGTGGCATATATCTTCATTGATGCCTTTGGCAGAATTTTAATCAAAATGTGATTCAAATAAGAAATGACACCCATTACTGTGAAGTGGACTATAATGAATAGGGCATTGTGCCCTGGGATGACCCCTCTTGAGCAGGGAGGTTGGGTCAGATAAACCACCAGTGTTCTCTTCCAGCCTTACCCATCCTGTGATTTTGTGATTTCACACCACATCTTCTCCCTTTGTTGGTTGTGTCTGTTATTTAAGCTGTTCTGTTCCATTCTGCTTCCATAACTTTCTACATCAAGTTTTCAGTGTTAAGTAGATGTGTTCTCATTTCCAGGGGCTATGGAAGCAGGCAAGAAGATGAACCAAGGCTGGAAGACATCAGTGGGTAGATGGAACTTGAAATATGGATACTGAAACAAATCTTCTGAGACCTTTTTAGGATAAACCCATCAGCTGTCTGATCTGTCATTCTGTGGCTCCTGAGCAGTGCTGGATGAAGACATCACCTAATCTGCCATGGATTTGTGCTGGGTGAGAACTGCTGGTTAATCTGGCTCTTGTGATAGCAAATGAACCAATGGAAGCTGCTGAAACTACCACTGCCAAATAGTCTGGGAATCTGGCTGCACATCCATGTTCTGATGCCGTGATGTGAAGCTGGACACGTGAATGCTTTGGTATGTGAATACTGGGCCTTGGAGCTTGACTTCCCCCATTTAAGGGTCAGACATTAAACAGTTCCAGATGTTGATTTTTGTTTGGGTTTTTTTGTTTGTTTTTTTTGGTTTTTTGTGGTTTTTGTTTGGTTCTTTGTTTGTTTTTAATTTTAACTTCCTCTGAGTTACAGGATTGATCTTCTGTAGAAGACCTTCCTTGTCTCCTGTTGTTCAGTGTAAGTTTTCCATGTCTTTCAGCTGAAGGCACAATGGGAAAAGCTTAACACAACCATCTTTCCCCTTTGAACAAATTTTTACTTTTGTCAAGATTCACATCAGAGGACAGTGTTAGGGCTGAGGTCATCTATTGCACCAGGTGTCTGAGCTATGTTTGCTGTCATTTTCAGGCTGTGGCCCTGAATGCAATGAAACTTTTGGGGGTAATTATTTTCTGATTATGCAATTAATCAAGTTCCAGGGAATAACAGACAAAGTCTCCTGAACTGTTTGGAGGTAGAGATTATAGAGGGAAAAAAAAAAAATAGAATTTGAACTCTAAGACAAATGTCTCTTTCTACTGCCTTAGAACAGAACAAGTGTCTTGTGACATTTCTATGTCCCTCTCACAGTGCCGTTTTTTTTGCCATGCCTTTTCCTGCCCTGAGCCCAGTTTTCCAGGGCTGTTCCAGGCTTTGCCTACAACCCTTCTCCCCATTCCACTGTCCTAAGGTAGGACAGGCAGATCCTTTCCCAGTCTTCCCTGGAATGATGGAAGCTCAAGAGTCCCAGGGAGTCAATCCTGGCCAATTGTCTTCTGGGCTACAAAAAGTGTGGCCAGAGGGTCAAGGGAGGGGATGCTCCCCCTCTATTCCACTCTTGTGAGAGCCACACCTGGAGTACTGCACCCAGATCTGGGTTCCCTAGCACAGGAAAAGCATGGACCTGTTGGAGTGGGTCCAGAGGTCCTTTTCCTATCAGGCAGAGATCTTCTTTTCAAAAGGGAAAGAAACAGGGACAAGGAGCAATTGTTTTAAACTGAAAGAGGAAAGTGTTAGGTGGAATATGAAAAAGACATTTTTAAAAATGAGAGTCTTGAGGCACAGGGTGCCCAGAGAAGCTGTGGTTGCTCCATCCCTGAGAGTGTCCAAGGCCAGGTTGGACAGGATTGGAGCAATCTGGGATAGTGGAAGGTGTCCCTGCCCATAGCACAGGGGCTGTCACTTGATGATCTTTAAGGTCCTTTCCAGTCTAAATCATACTATGGTTCTACATTCCTATAAGGGAATGTTAGAGATAGAAAGTGTTTTTTGGAGACAAAGAGACTGACTGCCAGTCTCCTGAGTGTTCTGTGGTCCCACTGCAACCTCACATTGTGATCAGCTGTCAAGGGGAAGTTAAGGAAAGGAAAGGAAGGGGGAAAGGCAGTTTGATCCATGAAATAGCTTCCTGAAGTCATTCACCGCTCTTCAAATCTTCATTGTAACTTCTTGGTCTCACCCCTAAGCCCCCCTTCACATCCCTGAAACTTCCTGCAAACTCTCATCTTCATTCAGAACCCCACTGATCCTTCTTGTCACCCAGCATCACATCGATCTCCATAAAAGCCTTCACACTTCTGTCACAGCCGCAAAATGCGATTTTTTGCCTATGTCAAATCACCTGCGTACAAGGCATAGGAAAAAGATTTAAGATGCCACAACAGCCTTGGAGAAATCACTAACAGTTGCAAACACAGGATTTCAAGTGAGTACAAGTGTTCCTGAACATCTGTATTTGTATGTGTGCACGCACAGTGGGGTGCATTGTATAGCCTATGTGGTAGAGACTGATACTGCTCCAAGACTTGTCTTACCTTGCTAATTAAGTATTGAGTAGTAAAAGAATTAAATTATGATGGTTTCTGCACCTGTTTGACTTTCCTCTTTATGACAAAACCCAGATCAATGCATGTGGGTTCACTGAAAAGGGGACTGGTCTCAGTTTGGAGGAAAATATGGTTGGTAAAATCAGTTTTTTCATTCTCTTTGTTTTCAGTTTTCCAGATGTATTTTCTGCAGCTGGACAGAGAAATACAGGAAACAAAATCAGATGTGCTCCAGGAAATACTTCTTTCGCAGTGATACTGCAGCCAGTCTACAGGAGCTCTTCTCTGAACACTGACTGAACTAAAACTGAGAGAAAATTTAAATTGATGTACATAAACTTTATTAACCACCCAGTTAGGATGAGATTAATTGCAACCAGGAGCTCACTCTCCCTAACTGTAAAAAGAGCCTAAAAGAACCTTACAGTTCATGTCTAAAGTAGAGGAAATGTATCTTGCCTTTAGTGACTCTCCAGATGTTCTGTTCTCAGTCTCTATACCAGGGATATATGCTTAAAAATATGCTCAAAAAAATATGAGTTGAAATTTAGCTACAGCAAAGATAAGTTAAAATGAGAGAAAAATGGGAGAGGGGAAAAATATCACAAAAGTCATAGGATATGACAACTTTCACTGACTATTTTATTTAAATTTAATAATGATTGAACTGTTATTATTCTGTTTTTATTACAATAAAACATATTGCTTACTTTTTTTTAGAGGCTCAGGTGTTCTAAAAGGATTTAACATGAAGAACCATTCATCCAGACTTCATTGTACTGAAGAAATATTTGAGTTAATTCTAGTAGTTTTCAAAAACTCCCCCTCTTTTGCTCTCCCTCTTCCTCTGTATAGATATATTTATATTTAAGTATACACAGTAGTTTGTTGCTATGTAGACAGATAAAGGCACAGAGTACATAGTATGGCTAAGTGGAAGTAAAATGACGTTAAAATAGAGCAGCTCTTCCAGAAAGGAGAAGGTTGTTACAGATTAACCAAACTTTACAATTAAATGGGAAACCCTGGTCAATGATCCGTATTTCCCTCTCTTTCCTAATACCCACCCACTCAGCTGAGCTCCTTACTGATGTTCATTTGTTCATCCTCACTGCAATACTGAAACCCTTTCACTTGAGTTAGGCACTGAGCAAGCAACAGAGGGACAAGTTTCTACAGGGACACCAGGATGAAAATAAAATCAGGAGTCAAAAGCAGAACTTGTTTGTGCTGGGGTTGAAAACATCAAACATTTGACCTTCTATTTAGGAAGAAGAGAAACACAGCCCTTTCCCTACACATTTCTTTTCAATGTATTTTAGTCACTAAAGTGCCATGGGGAAATGGAACACTGCCAGCTGCATCCAGGAGCTTCTGTTGCTGGTATTTATTACATTAATTACACTTTATTTCATTAAAATAGCACCCAGGATTCCCTGTGGAGCGCAGTCTCTGTGTTACACATAAAGCATGTTTCAGAGGATGATGACAAGGCCTGCTTCCTCAAATGACAGGGCAAGGGAATGGCATGTTTGTGAGTCAAACCTCAACCTGTTCAGGAATTCCAATGCTAACTCTTCTGTGATTCTACTCTATTTTGTTTATCTTATTTGTAAAAATATATGGTGTACCAACCTCTGGGGAATCTTATCATTACAAAACAGAGACATTTGCAGCTCTGAAATTACCTTGGGGTTAACCAGATGAACTGGAAAACAGAATTTTTAAAATATGACCACTGATTCTTTGTAGTTCCAATTTATATATACAAAATATTTTCTCAGTTAAACAAAGTGTATGTCAGCACCCACTGGCTTTGTTTGAAACACAAATGAGATTTTCTTATCTGTGGACCAAGATCTTATAATGGACCAATCCCTTAAAACACCTCCTAGTTCTAATTCTAGAAGAGAATCACAGAATCATGAAGGCTGGAAAAGACATCCAAGATCATGAAGTCCAACCTTTGACTGAGTATCACCATGAACCATATCACTTCATTTTGAACATATCATCATGTTCATTTTCTGAACATTCCCAGGAATGGTGACTCCACCACTTCCCTGGCCAGCCTGTTCCCATCCCTAACCACTCTTTCAGTGAAGAAAATCCTAATATAAAAAATCACTTAAGTCTGCAGCTGGAGAGGTTCAGCCAAAACGTTTTTATGTGATTAAGCAAGGAGAGACTCTGTTTTCCTTGCATTAACTTTGTAGAAACCAGATTGATACTTAAAAATAGATAAAATTTATGTTTTGCTGTCTCAAAATCATTGACTGGTCAAAGTTGAAAGCATGCTCAGCACTGAGGTGAGCTAAATTTAATGACCAGGATAACAAGAGTTTGGCTATTTTTATTATTTCCTTGACAGTTTGAACAGTTTGAACACACTTATCCAGGTAGTAAAAGCTGTTTGTTTTCAACATAGAATAATAGAATGGTTTTAGCCCCCAACATTACTGTTCTAGTTATCAAACCTTGATTTCAACCATATTTCATTTTGTACATAAAATAGCATCATAATATCTTGAGGATCTTCAGATATCAAATATGTGGATGATATTTCTGTGTATATAGAAACAGGAAAAGAGTAATAATATCTTACTAAATCAATCACTTTTTAAACAAAAATAGCTCATTATCAAAGTTTTTTTTAAAGCCTTATTAGAGTCAAGAACTCCAAGAATTGGGTCAGAGGCTAATTTTTTCTCATTGAAGAAACTTCCTGCTCAGTTCCACAATGAGTAGGAGGTTGGATTATGACTCCAGAATTCTTTCTTTGTGTCAATGCCTGCAGAGAACATTCATCCAAACAAGCAAGACGTCAGCCAGGATATCTGATGTTCCTTTTCCACCCCAGTAATTTAGTCACTGCTCCTACCTCATACTTGTTCCTATGGAGCACCACATTGCTGACACAGATGATGGTATCTCCTTTTAAATTCTGTTTTCTTGGATTTTTACTATGAGGCATGGCACTGGTAGTTCTATAATATACCAATTTAGTGACAGTTTTAATGTTTTTTTCCTTTCTTCAGAAATTTGAAATTTCTTTCTTTCAGAATTTGAAAAAAAAAATAAAATCAAGAATCTAAATCATGGTGCTTGTTCATCCAGAAATTTACCACATCAGGAAAGTTTCTTGCCATGAGGGTAAAAGGGTGAATGGCCTTTTGCTCTGTCTGTCATTGCAGTGACTGCAGCCCAGTTCAAAAACAAAACAAAACAAAA